CCCCCCAACACTTTAACCTTCACCAAAATTTTTCCTCCCAAGGTCTAATTGTTAATTCTCCCCTCTAGCTGCTGCACACATTTCCTTGTAAATAAGTTATAAGAATTTGATGTTTAGTCAAGATAACAACTTCTACCTGATTAGTTTGAGTGTTCTCGTTACCTGTTAGTTGAATGATGTATGGATATTATAGGGAGAACTTATATGTTAATCACTTTCAGGAGTTATTTTAGAATCTTCATTCCATAAACCAATATGTTCTATACTGTGAAGCGCATCCCCTTAGAGTGGATCCCAATGCAAGATGGAACCAAACTTGCAGCTAAACTGTGGATTCCAGAACCAATTAATAAAACTGACTTACCTGCAGAAGAAGGAAAATATCCAGCTGTACTAGGTCAGGATTTTTAAGCACTGTTCAAAGCATTCAATTTGTCAGCACATTGTAAAAGGTCTTCTGCAAATAGGTCAAATTTCATTTCAGCTATTTAAATTTTTTCTTCCCTAGAATTTCTTCCATATCGCCGCATTGACTGGACTGCTGCGAGGGATGAAAAGAACCATTCATACTTCTGCTCTTATGGCTATGTTTGTGTCCGTGTGGACATGCGGGGATCTGGGGACTCAGAAGGATTTTATTACGATGAATATGAAAAGCAAGAGCAAGATGACTGCTGTGATGTTATTGACTGGATTTCACAGCAACCATGGTGTACTGGAGTTGTTGGTAAATTCCGTTATTTAAAGCCACGCCTTGTGCACCAGCTAAGATTGTAACTATGGTTCAACCATTTAAGTGTCTAAAGAGGTCTGGTTCCAAAATCACCCTTTTAGTTCCCGCACATTTTGCACATATCTTCCTACATACAACATTTCCCCTTTGATCATATGAAACAAATAAATTCCAGGTTGCTGTGGGCCTGCATAGTAATAGATCACAAAAAATGTAAAAATGTGGAAAGAACATCAGTGATATACTTGGCTGCTTCTGTGTGCTGCTTTTTCACAATTAATTTTGTTTTTGTCAGGTATGTATGGTAAAAGCTGGGGAGGATTCAATGGACTTCAGGTAGCTGCCAGACGACCCTGTGCACTCAAGACCATCATCTCTACATATTCCACCGATGACCGATATGCTGACGACATTCATTACCGTGGTGGCTGTGTCCTTGGCAGGGAAATGTTATCTTGGGCTCACATCATGTTCCTATGGAATGCACGTCCTCCTCATCCAGACAGCTTAGGCCCAAGGTTTTTTTTCAAAATCGTTTTTTTGCTTTCAACATGCATGCTATTGAAAAGAGTCATTATTATGGTTTTGTTTTCTTAGTAGAGAATAGGGCTGTTCCATTGCTATCTCCAGCTTGCTCTATCCTCTATAGCTATGACCACTTCATTCTATGCCCTCCACCCAGTTCTTCATAACCTCTCTTTTTCAGCCTTGGTGGTCTTCTTTGTGCTACCTGCTCACCTCATGTCTTGATGCCCCCCTCTTGTCCTAGTCTCCCCCTTTGTAAAAAAATTATGTCGTACTGGTACTCCTTTAAATGAGATATAAGCTTGTACTGGTTTATAAAAAGTTAGCTCAGCCTAGTGATTTTTTTAAAGACCAATGTCTATGGTATTCCTATAAATGTAGGGCCTAAGTTGATCTCATCTGGGAATTGCCAGGGGCTGGACAAAAATAAGCAAGAAGTATACTGACTCAAAAAATATATATATCAGAATCAACTTCATTATGTTCTTTAAATTCACAGATGGAAACAAATGTGGCTAGATCGTCTGAACAAATCCAGTGAACCCTGGATACACATTTGGCTTTCACATCAGTCACGCGATGCATACTGGAAGCATGGTTCCATAGCTGAGGATTACACCTCAATAAAATGTCCTGTGTTTCTGATTGGTGGATATAGTGATCTTTACACTGATGCAGTATTCCGCATGGTGGAACATCTTAACTGTCCTGTCCGTGCTCTCATAGGGCCATGGTCCCATGCATGGCCTGCAGATTCTTCACCAGGGCCTCGCATAGATCATCTTAAAGAGTGTGTCAGGTGGTGGGACTGTCATTTAAAGGGCCTTTCCACTGATGTCATGAAGGAACCTCTAATAAGGATGTTCTTGAGGGATGGTATGATGTCTTAGGCTCCCAACAGTTTTGACTGTCCATTGGTCAATTTTTATTTTTTATGAGCCAGCTATTCAAATTTATGAAGCAAAAATCCTTTTGTTTATACAGAATTTGGAATATTGATTTTTTGGATGTGAGAAAACTTGTTGCTTTCTTCTCTTGAAGGAATTTCAATGGCACACAAGGAAGATATTTGGCCGGGCAGGTGGGTAGCCGAAGACTGCTGGCCCTCACCCAATGTTCAGCTACAAGAATTCATACTACACAACGACCAAAGACTGGCACTAACAACAGAGAACTATGAACAAGCCACTGGCCAAGAATCAGTGGAATCCAATGTATTTGTCAAATCTTCATTTCTTAGTGGATCATGGGGTGGTCTGCCATTGGCTTTTAGTCTCGATGAACTGCCAATTGAGCAGGGATTTGAGGACAATTTGTCTGAGTGCTGGGAGACAGTGACGCTCAATAAACCTACTGCTATAGTGGGATTTCCTGAGGTGCATCTGCAGCTAAGTTCTGACAGGCCCTGTGCTCTGGTAGCCGCCAGGCTATGTGATGTGTTTCCAAACGGCGAATCTGCACTAATCACAAGAGGTATACTATCTTCCTTCCAGACAAACAATTCAATGAATGAATTAAACAAACAGACCAAGAAGAACCAAGTACTTCCAGCTTTTTAAGAATAATTCTTTCAGTCTTTCACAGCAATAGTGAACAACACAAATCTGATTAGAGCACTCCTTGTCATGCATTTTATAGGTTAATTGAAAGAGTAACTTGATCATTCTTGGCGAATCACAGAGTGCCTGTAAACAGATCCAGCCATTTATGGGAGGTGTTTAACATTTTATGATAATATGGTAATATTAGCTGGCTGAAAGATGGAAACAATTATTCTGTATGCCACTATACCATAATTTACTTACCTAAGGTTCAAAAGAAACTTTGAAGCTGGAGGGGTACCATCAACCATGTTGACCACCATAGAGAATTTCTGAGGCTGACATTTAAAGCATGAGCCTTTCATCAGATGTCTGTTTAACTGGCTCTCTTGGGCAGAATGTGAAGCAACAGTTTAGCCCAACTCCCCACAAACTGAGCAAAAGTTTGAAGTCCAGGTGCTTTATCTCCATTACAATTTGTCTTTATTGCAGGAGTGTTGAATTTGACCCATATAAGTGGTCATTCATCAGAAGATATTCAGCCGCTTCAGTCTAATAAAAACTATCATGCACAGTTAAAGCTTGACTCTACAGCCTACACAGTTGCTGCTGGACATAAACTTCGCCTGTCTCTCTCCTCAGTTCACTGGCCATATGTTTGGCCTTCTCCACAGGTGTCATGTCTATCAATACAGACAGGAAGGAGGAGCAAGCTAGTAATTCCTGTCCGAACTGCAAATCAAGAAGTTAGTGAAAAGGATGCTCAGCTAAAAGACTTTGAATTGCCTGACTATAAACACATCAATTTTCCTGTTGAATGGCAGAGGATGCCTCATAAGGGAAGGTAATCTCATAACTCCTGATTAGAAATAATAGTGAGAAGACTGTAATGAAATAAGGTTAATTGCTGCTTTATAATTAATTGCTTAATAGTTAATTGCTAAATGAAAATTTCACCATTCCATGCACCCCTTGAAGATATTAGAATGTACAGATTTTTAGCTCTAAATCTTTCTATCAGAAGGCTTTATTAGAGGGATAACAGTAGTTGTGTTCAGCCTTTACCCAGATTCCTTCTCTTTAAATGATCAAGAAAACTATCAGTTAGGATACTTTAAAATCCCCAGTAATTGCTCTAAGCCCTTTAAGAGACCTGATGAAAATGTGGGGAGTTACTTGCGATAGACAAGGATTGCATTTGGGAGGGTGGGGGGAGAAGTGGGGGGCATGGGGAGGGTAGGATAACAATCCTTCTTGTTGCTCTGAAGGTTCCTTCTCTTCCTACTCCTGCTGTAATCACTTTTTATTTTCTTTTTCAAGGGATCTTGAAATTGGCCAGCTCTCTGACAATTACAAACTGACTGTCACCCTGGACGATGGATGTTATAATCTGAAAGATACAAACACCACTTATGATGAGATTAATACAGAAACTTTCACAATTAAAGAAAGGGATCCAAGCTCAGCCAAGGTTCACATACAAGGGCAAGTAATGATGAAAAAAGAAGGTCATACTGCTGAGCAGGAGGACAGTGGACACACTAGATGGGACACTAGAGTCCAGGCTTCCAGCGAGATGTGGTGTGATGAACAGTTTTTTCATTTGAAAAGTCAATTGACAGCTTGGCACTGCAATGAAGAATGTTTTGATAAGACATGGACAAAGAAAATAGAACGATTTTATGTTTAAATAAATGGTTACTTGTCATAGTATTAAACATAACTACTAAACATCAAAGTATTAAACATAATTGATTAATAAATAATTATAGATTAATTATTAATTCATATTAATAGTGGAGAGTGAGTTGAATGATCAGTGTTCTAATCTAAATTGATATGCAACATAAGCTAATCAAGACTCATTGAGCTACACAGTATGTTTATAAATTCATTCGTACCTCAGTTAATGGTGTGTTACAAATAACTTCTTGAAGTCTTATAATATTGATTGGGATTCTGCGTAAAAATTCTATATGCACAGCAGCTATCTTTCATAAATATGCTGAAACTAGACCATAAAAGTACATTGAATAAAGGGGGTAAGTTTTTAAAGGAACTGTGGTGCTGTGTGGTAACTTGGTGAGTGAGCTGAAAACGTAAATTGGCCACCGTAAAGAGTAAAAAAGCTGACGTTTCAAGCATTAACCCTTTGTCAATCGCTCTGACGAAAGGCTAACGCTCGAAACGTCAGCTTTTTTACTCTCTGAGGTGGCTAATTTACATTTTCAACTCAGCTGTTAACACTGAATTACTTGCCATAAAAGTACATTGTTCTGCCATTGTGTGCAATACATGTTATTTTAACTTTAAATACTCTCTTAAGCCAAAGGTACATTTTACAAACAATACTCATATATATGAAAGAGAAAGAAAATGAAAGCTTGACTAAATTTCATTCCCACTTGTTCAAAACAGCTTGATTACTCCCTCTTCACTAACACCATTAGAGGTGTTATTGAAAGAGTTTGTTCCTTTGCATTTTGATGGCAGCCAGTTAACCTTTTCGCTCTCAGGGGTGATTAACTTTGAATTTCTCCTTATCATATCCAAACATCATCCAACAAAATGGTGGTGAGAATACTAGAACTTGTAGGTAGAAGTTGACTTGATCAAACACCAAATTCTTTTAACTAATTTACGAGGAAATGTGTCGCAGCTAAAGGGGAGAATCATCAATCAGATCTTGGGAGTCAAAGGGTTAAGTGGAGGAAGTCAAATGTCCTTAAAACTTAACAATTCACTGGAGAATACAACAGGTGAAGGAGAGGCTCGTTTTCTTCAAATCATATGATTGCCATCAAACCTGGTTTTGAGAATCGAGGTTTGCAATTTGATGTGTTTATGTAACATTTATTACCCGCTTGATTCTAGCCGAGCACGACCACTACAAGGATGAGCATGAAATAGGAAGACCACACACCCGGCGCATAAACACACCCTTTAGTAGCTCCCGGACTCCTCCCGGTGGAAGCTGAGCTACTGTCCTAAAGAGGTGAAATTGCATACGCTGCTTGGCTCAAAACCATGAAAACCATTGTCTATTTAGTAGCAAAGACCATTTCACGACACAGCACATAACCGTGGGTGGAAATGAGTGCTTCCTCTACCGATTAAGTCTTACAAGGAGGTTAGAGAGAGCGACTCGTTTTGAGGTCCCCTCAGTGAACGTTCTTCGGTTTATTCAGACATTAAACAGATAAGTTGCAAAGGAAACTACTCGTTTTGTTACCAAAATCTGGTGAAGGAAAGAATAAAAAAGAGGAAGAATATTTCGGATCAGAGTAGTGTAAAAACAGGTTTCTTGTCTTCACAAATATTTGGACGGACGAGGAAAAACTCGATAAAACTCTTTCTAGAGGCTCTCTTCCTGGGGAACAATCGCTGGCAGCGCGAAGATCGGGATCTATTACGGCTGCTGACGATCGCTGAGACAAAAGACTTTCACAGGAAGCTTCGTTTTATACTCAAACTAGACGCATAGCTGCGTGAACTCGGGCTTT